GAAAACAGGAAGTCAAATTGTCCCTACTTGCAGACAATATGATTTATATTTAGAGGATCCCATCATCTCAGCCCAAAATCTCCTTAAGCTGATAAGCAACTTTGGCAAAGTCTCAGGATACAAAATCAATGTGCAAAAATCACAAGCATTCCTATACACCAGTAACAGACAAACAGAGATCCAAATCATGAGTGAACTCCCATTCATAATTGTTACAAAGGGAATAAAATACCTAGGAATACAAATAACAAGGGATGTGAAGGATCACTTCAAGGAGAACTACAAACGGAAATAAGAGAGGACACAAACAGATGGGAAAGCATTCTATGCTCACGGTTAGAAAGAATCAATATTGTGAAAATGGCCATACTGCCCAAAGTAATGTATAGATTCAATGCTATCCCCAACAAGCTACCTATGACCCTCTTCACAGAACTGGAAAAAAACCACCTTAAACTTCATATGGAACCAAAAGAGAGCCCACATAGCAAGTCAATTCTAAGCAAAAAGAACAAAGTTGAAGGCATCACGCTACCTTATACTACAAGGCTATAGTAATCAAAACAGCATGGTACTGATACCAAAACAGATATAGACCAATGGAACAGAACAGAGGCCTCAGAGACAATGCCACACATCTACAACCATCTGATCTTTGACAAACCTAACAAAAACAAGCAATGGGGAAAGGATTCCCTGTTTAATAAATAGTGTTGGGAAAATTGGCTGGCCATACACAGAAAGCCGAAACTGGATCCCTTCCTTATACCTTGTACAAAAATTAACTCCAGATGGATTAAAGATTTAAACATAAGACCTAACACCATAAAAACCCTAGAAGAAAACTTAGGAAATACCATTGAGGACATAGGCATAGGCAAGGACTTCATGACTAAAACACCACAAGCAATGGCAACAAAAGTCAAAATAGACAAATGGGATCCAACTAAACTTCTTCTGCACAGCAAAAGAAACTAGCATTAGAGTGAATCAGCAACCAAGAGAAAGAGAAAAAATGTTTGCAATCTACTCACCTCACAAAGGGCTAATATCCAGAATCTACAAAGAACTTAACAAGTTTACAAGAAAAAAACAAACAACCCCATTAAAAAGTGGGCAAAGGATATGAACAGACACTTTTAAAAAGAAGACATTTATGCAGCAAACAAACATATGAAAAAAAGCCCATCATTACTGGTCGTTAGAGAAATGCAATCAAAACCACAATGAGATACCATCTCATGCCAGTTAGAATGGTGATCATTAAAAAATCAAGAGATAATAGATGCTGGAGAGGATGTGGAGAAATAGAAATGCTTTTATACTGTTGGTGGCAGTGTAAATTAGTTCAACCATTGTGAAAGACAGTGTGGCCATTCCTCAAGGATCTAAAAATAGAAATTCCATTTGACCCAGCAATTCCATTACTGGGTATACACCCAAAGGATTATAAGTCATTCTATTATAAAGACACATGCACACACATATTTACTGTGGCACTGTTCACAATATCAAAGACTTGGAACCAACCCAAATGCCCATCAATAATAGACCGGATAAAGAAAATGTGGTACATATACGCCATGGAAAATGATGCAGCCATAAAAAGGATGAGTCCATGTCCTTTGCAGAGGACATGATGAAGCTGAAAAACATCATTCTCAGCAAACTGATACAAGAATAGAAAACAAAACACTGCATGTTCTCACTCATAGGTGGGTGTTGAACAATGAGAACACATAGACACAGGAAGGGGAATATCACACACTGGGGTCTGTTGCGGGGCTGGGGGGCTAGAGAAGGGATAGCAGGGTGTTAGGGGATTGGGTAGGGATAGCATTAGGAGAAATACCTAATGTAGATGATGGGGTGATGGATGCAGCAAACCACCATGGCACATGTATACCTATGTAACAAACCTGCACATTTTGCACATGTACCCCAGAACTTAAAAGTATAATACATTTTTTAAAAATTGGGGTGGAGCAGGGTCTCTCTATGTTGCCCAGGCTAGACACTTCAGCTGAAGTGCAGTGGTGCAATCTTGGCTCCCTGCAACCTCCACCTCCCAGGTTCAAGTGATTCTCATGCTTCAGCCTCCTGAGTATCTGGTGCTACAAGTGCCTGCCACCACACCTAGCTAATTTTTGTATTTTTAGTAGAGATGGGGTTTTGCTATGTTGGCCAGGCTAGTCTCGAACTCCTGGCCCTCAAGTGTTCCACGCGCCTCAGCCTCCCAAAGTGCTGGGATTATAGGCATGAGCCACAGCGCTCGGCCTAAAGATCCTCATATTTTTATTAATCTCTTCATATTCTCTGTTCATTAATTTCTGTGTGCACTAAGTATTTTACCAATTTTTGTAAAATTAAAATAAGGTGAACCTATCGTACTTTTTTTTTGCTTGGACTGGAAAACTTTGAGGTTTAACATTTGCTTATTTAAGGTTTTTTTTTTTTGATAAAAGCTATTAACTGTAATATGGTCAGACTTTTTTTCTGTATTTTTTTTTCTTTTCTTTTTTCTTTAAAATATAACACCCTTCTACAATAGAATAATATGGTCAGATTCATTGGTTTTTTTGAATTTGTGCTTTTTGTGTCTTGTTTAAAAAATCATTTTCTATTCCAAGATCTATAAGATATTCACCTATATTTCCTAATAAAGTAAAGCCTTCTTGTTGACTTATTTTTTTCTGTATAGATTGACTTAAGGATACAATATTTTTCTTTTTGTATGTATAACCACTTTTCCCGACTTCATTTACTGAATAGTAACCAATCTTTCCCCACCAATCTGATATATTATCTTTGTCACATACCAAAGTTTCATACATCTATTATTATTATCATTATTATTATTTTTGAGACAGGACCTCATTCGGTTGCCCAACCCAGGCTGGAGTATAGTGGCACAACCAAGGTTCACTGCAGCCTCAACCTTCTAGGCTCAAGTGATCCTCCAGCCTCAGCTTCCTGATTAGGTGGGACTAAATGAGTGCTACAACACCTGGATAATTTTTTTTTATTATTTATTTATGTATTTTTATACTGAGTCTCACTCTGTCACCCAGGCTGGAGTGCAATGGTGCAATCTCAGCTCACTGCAACCTCTGCCTCCTGGGTTCAAGCGATTCTCCTGCCTCAGCCTCCCGAGTAGCTGGGACTATAGGTGCACACAACCACGCCTGGATAATTTTTGTATTTTTAGTAAAGATGTGGTTTCAACATATTGGTCATTCAATATTGGCATGAGCCAACGCACCCGGCCTACACCTGGCTAATTAAAAAAAAAAAAATTTTTGTAGAGATGGCATTTCACTATGTTGCCCAGGCTGATAGTGAAATGGGTCTCTCCTGAGACCCTCAACTCCAGGTCTCAGGAGATCTTTGTGTATCAGCCTCCTGAAGTGCTAGGATTAACAGGCGTGAGCCACACTGCACCTGGCTATCTTTGAAGATTTTAATAAGACGGCCATGTCTCTGTCAAGACTGATCAAGAAAGAACACAAATACAAATTGAAAGAGAGGGAAAAATTGTATTATGGAACTGGGTTAAGTACCTTAAGGGAAAACTACAATAATGAAACCACTATTCCTATCTACTGGGCTGGGGGAAGGCACGGACGGAGATATAAACAACACACCAAGGGCTCCCATCTCCTGTTCTCTTCTGCTCGCAAAGTCTCTCTTAAAATATAGAGAATATATTGCAAGTAAATACATTCATTAGTGCACTTATTCAAAAACCACATTTGTCTCTCCATGCCAGCTTTCATCTCAATGCCTGGCACAGAAACTAAAAGGATTTCAGAGGACAAAAATCAAAGGGCTGGAAAGGAGGGAAGCAGCTATTTGAGAGTGAGCAGAGGGAAGGACATAACCAGAACCTTCCATCTGGTGTTGTGACAAAGACGGCAGTGATGTGAGGCTTGATAGAATTAAAAAGCCTCACAGTTCAAGACGGACTACATGCCCTCAGTCGCTTGCCTGCTTTCTTGCTTTGCTAGACGGATTAGAAATCCTAGAAGTAAACTTGAGTGGGTACTGGGCTATTCTATCCCAATCCTCTCTTCTGGGGCAATGCAGCTGCCTCACAGCTCCTTTCCTCACTGGATGTTACCTTCAGCTTCAGGAAACTGCTTCACCCATGGACAGCGTGCCAAGAACTGGCTGATGTGGGAGCACAAAGGAAGAGCTTCCTTGCTCGTTTGAGACAACTAAGAGGCTCACCCTAATTCTAGAGCTCCCTGTTGGAACAGCTGAGGCAGTTACAACCACGTTGTGGATCACCTGACCCTGCCTTTCTCAGCTCCCTGGAGGTGCATTTTAAGAGCACTCCTCATAAACCAACACTCAGGTCTCTCTGAGGTGTTTCCAGGGAGCCTAATCTAATATTAAAATTGTAAAGGCCTCTTTTAGCATTCTCCCTTAGAGTCCAGGCAAGGAGTTCTTTACTTGTTTAGAGGTCATGAATCCCTTTGACAAGGTGATGAAAGCCAGGGACCCTCTTCTCAGAAAAACACACACACGCACTTAATGTAAAATTTTACGTACTATTTTAAAGGTTAAACTTTACCACCCATGAAAAGCCTCAAGTCGCTCTTTGTACATAATCATAAGATTAGCCACCATTTACTGAGCATTTCCTCTCTATAAGACCCTGTGCTAAGTGCTTTACCTTCAAAATAACTTTGATCATGACATAACACGGCAGGGTAGTTCCTACTATCTTCCTTTGAGAGATTTAAGGGCTTGCTCAAAGTAGCACGGCTAATAATCAGCAGACACTGGATTAAAATTCCAATTTGTCTGCTAAGTTTGTGCTCTGAATATATGACAAGGAAAGAGAAGAGAAAGTTAAAGAAGTGAAGGTCCTCGAAGGTCTCTTAACGATAAAAGTCAAGAGTTGGGATTTAAACCCGGGTCTAACGCCACAGCTGGCGCCCTTGAGATTAAACGTGTAGCGTCCATGACAACGAAAGAAGTTAATTTTGTCCCACCTCTGCCCTTTGTAGCTTGTCATTTGCGTTTGCTTCTACAGCGACTTCCAATAGATTTCTGCGTGGCCCCAGCCCAGCCCACAGCGGGGCGGCACCACGGTTGACCGCATCTCCCCCAACGGAGGAGAAGTGCATCGCCTTCCGTACAACATGGATGTGTTCGCTCCACCACGCCGCAGGTTCTGACGCAACTTCCTGCCCTGCGCAATTCTATTTGACCTTTGAACTCGCAGAGGCTTTCTTCTTCCTCTTCCGGGGACGTTGTGTGCAGGTATGGTAGCGGTTCTGTTTTCCCTGTCTTTATTTCCTTCACAATCGGCTGCCATCCGAGGAGCTGAGGAAGCTTAGAGCTCTCAGGAGCAGTCTTTTGAGCTGGCATAGGGGCAAGCGGCATACGAGGGAGGCTGGTGGTGAGGAAATTTCTTTCTTTGATCTTCGGAAATCCTTTCTTCCTGGAGGCCTCTCCAAAGCCGTGAGTAGCCAGAGCTCTCCACTCGGGACTTTGCTGCCTTCCAAATGCAGCTTTTGGAGACAAACGAGTTGTGGTCCGGCGGTTTGAGACTGGGAAATCGCCGAACGTGTTCAGATTTTACACCCACGTTATCAACACGCCCGTATATGTTCTCAGTCTTAGGGAGGGCAGGGACCGGCGAGTTCGGGTGGTGGTTTCGCTATTTGGCTTCTGTTTCCAAGGCCCATGTCAAGGAAGAGAAAAATGTGTTAGAAATTTTCATCTTGCTTTTGGAGATGCAGACAGAATAGTGGCTTCATAAATTACTCGCACCGGCCTTACGTGTCAAGTTTCAGTGTCTGGTAGTTCTGTTTCAGTTTAATTTTAGTAAGAGGCTTGTGACAACAAATGTAGGCTGTTTTCGTTTCAGTAACAATATTGTTATGAAATGAAGTGTTACAAGGCATGAAGTGGGAAGATTTTAGTTCAGATACTAATTATGTTTTACTTTGGTTAGTTCACTTAACGAAGTTGCTAACATGCGTATCTGTTACCGATTTGCTAAATAACCTCAAATTGTTTCCAGTTGCTAAGTGGGAAGAAAGCAAGTGCCATAACCCAAAGACACTTGTGTAAATGTCAAAATTATTAAAGGGTATGTCTTTACTCAAGTGGTGCTCTGGAGCAAGACACTGAACCCTGATAATGTGTCTAGCATTGTGTTGGGAGGGATAGCTCACATCATTTAATCCTAATGACAGCTGCATAAAGTAGGCAGAAATCCCTTTTTAGAGATAAGAAGGCTAGCTCCTGGCCCTGTGTATTCCCAATAAATGGCATAGCTGAGGATTCGACTTCAGAGCTCACTTGTGCTCTTTGTTTAAAGCAGCGTTTCTCCAGCTGGCCTCGTAGCACTTTTCCAGACACTACTCCAAACAAAATCGGACTCTGTGAAAAAGGAGGCTGGTGATCAGAATGTTAAGGAAGTGCCACATTTGATTACCATCAAGAGAGCTAACATTCTTGGCCTCTTGTTTATCAATCACCTTTAAATACAAGTAGTTTTAAAATGTGGAATCTTACATAAATAAGACGTCTTAATAAATGGGTGTTACAAGGTGGGCACCGTGGCTCACCTGTAATCCCAGCACTTTGGGAAGCTGAGGTGGGTGGATCGCCTGAGGTCGGGAGTTCCAGACCAGCCTAACCAACATGGAGTTATCCCGTCTCTACTAAAAATCCAAAATGAGCCGGTTGAGGTGGCACATGCCTGTAATCCTAGCTACTGGAGAGGCTAAGGCAGGAGAATCACTTGAACCCGGGAGGCAGGGGTTGCCATGAGCTGAGATTGCGCCATTGCACTCCAGTTGTGGCAACAAGAGCTCCGTCTCAAAAAATACATGTATATGGGTATTACATACAGGAATATGTATGTGGATGAAATAGACCATCTGATGCTGTTTTGAGATATTAATTATTTTTACAATGGAAATACTCGATGTTATTCTATTCTTAATTTAGGCACTCAGAATGGTCCAGCGTTTGACATACCGACGTAGGCTTTCCTACAATACCGCCTCTAACAAAACTAGGCTGTAAGTATTTCTAAAAATTTTAAGTATATGATGACATTTACTCTACAAAATGCTGACCTACTGACTGTTTGACTTTCTAGGTCCCGGACCCCTGGTAATAGAATTGTTTACCTTTATACCAAGAAGGTTGGGAAAGCACCAAAATCAGCATGTGGTGTGTGCCCAGGCAGGCTTCGAGGGGTAAGTGTACCTATTACTGTGAGTAGCCTAACAAGCTTTGAACTTGTTGAGATTTCATCCTTTGATAATGGAATGAGTCAAGGAGCGGTTACCACTAAGAGGGCTGAGAATTACCAAACATCCGTGATCCAAAGAACATAGATCCAAGAACATAGACTTTTAAAACAGTCTGAGAAGTGTAGTGAAATGCCTTTCAGATAAATCAGTACACTGTTTCCCTTTGTAACCTGCTTTAAACTTGCCCTTAACACTTAACAAAATGTAGGAAAATTTCTGTTAAACATCACAAAATAATCTTAATGTTTTTCTTATGCAGGTTCGTGCTGTACGACCTAAAGTTCTTATGAGATTGTCCAAAACAAAGAAACATGTTAGCAGGGCCTATGGTGGTTCCATGTGTGCTAAATGTGTCCGTGACAGGTAAGTTAAATGCTTAAATGGGCTTTCTTTAGCAAATTTGTGTGTTTTTGTGTTACACTGTCTGCTAATCAGTAGAAGATTGGTGAAATGACTCATTTTAAACCAGTTGCATACTTTAGAATCCTTCCTCAACTATGGATAATTGATGCTGCACAAAGCAGTAAATAATATTCAGAGTAACAGTTTGAGGACATCTGTCTGCTAGATGTAGAGGTTAAAAAGGACTTAGTTTTGTTGTGGAGGTGGGTGAGCAAATTTCTGTTAGTGCTTTGGACACATAGATGGAGTGTGGAAGGTGTTAAAAGTATAGGAACAAAATAGTTACGTGTTCTCATGTGCCTGAAGCATAGGGTTGCAGGAGATAATGGACAGCAAGACTAGAAAAGCCAGATTATGAGTCTTTGCAGAATGAAAAGTAGATTCACTCTTTTTTTTTTTTTTTTTAATGGAGTCTTGCTCTGTTGCCCGGGCTGGAGTGCAGTGGCTTGATCTTGGCTCACTGCAACCTCCTCCTGGGTTCAAGTGATTCTCCCGCCTCAGCCTCCCAAAGTGTTGGGATTACAAGCGTGAGGCGCCACGCCTGGCCAGCTTAATTGTTTAGAATGGGAGAATTGCTGGATTTTGAGCAGGACAGAAGAACCCTTTGGTGTGCCAGAAACAAACTGCAGCAGGATGGGTGGTGAAGTCATTCCTTCTACGAAAGATGGATGTTTGAAACATAACATTTCTCTTTGTGAAGGATGAGGAAGTGGCACTTGCTTTAAGACTGAAGACTGGTCAGGGGAAGAGGAGAGTGTTGTGGGTAGTCTGCTTCTGTTGGATATGGGAAGGAATTTAGCTGTGGGATTTATGTTGGTAACATTTACATGACAAAAAACAAGTCAATCAGGAAACTTTCTATTCCTGGTTTTGTTTGTTTGTTTGTTTGTTGGTGAGGAAAACAAGACTTATAACATTGGCCAGACTGGTTTCAAACTCTGGGCCCGAGTGATCTGCCCACCTCAGCCTCCTAAAGTGTTGGGATTAGATGTAAGCCACTGCACCTGGCCAAAGACCTTACTGTTGGCTACATTAAAATGCTTCCTAAGAAGATACCAGTGGAAGGAATTGAGAGGTGATTCATTTTCATAAGTAAAGAAACTGATTGGAAATAGTTTTGCCTCTAATTTACATAGCTAGTTCTTTAAAGGGGTCTGGCCGAGGTGGGTTTGTTTTGTTTTGTTTTGTTTTGTTTTTGGGAGAAACAGTCTCACTCTGTCGCCCAGGCTGGAGAAAAATGGTGTGATCTTGGCTCACTGCAACCTCAGCCTCCTGAGTAGCTGGGATTACAGGTGTCTGCCACCATGCCTGGCTAATTTTTTTGTAATTTTAGTAGAGACGGAGTTTTGCTATGTTGTCCAGGCTGGCTCGAACTCCTGACCTCAGATGATCCACCCGCCTTGGCCTCCCAAATCACACCTGGGATTACAGGTCTAAGCCACCACACCCAGTCCTAGCTGAGTTTCTAAACCAGATCTTTAGACACCAGAACCTTGCAGTCTTCATTCTGCATTTTAGGAGGTAGTTTGTAAGAGAACAGTAAGAGATGCTACATTAATACTAGTAGAGGATAAATATAGCTTCTGTAATATACGGCAAAGCTTAACTATGATTGAAGTTAAAAGGAGAAATTACTTGGAAATAGCTGGGAATGGCATTTGAATTGGAACCTAAATGATGGATAAATTTTGGACAAAAGGCAGAGAGGGCATTCCAGGCAAGAAAAGTACAGATTGATGTGGCACATTGTGGGTGAGAAATGGAAATGTACGTTGAAGGTAAGTCATGAGTTTTAAGCTAAAGAAGTTTGGCTTTTATCTCCCAGTCTTTGGTTCTAAAACTTTGCTAAACATAAAATCAGATGGATACATGTATATAATTCTCAGGCCTTTGAAGATTTGAATTTAGGTTTACAGGATAGCCTAGAAATTAGCATTATTGGTTCAGCATTATCAGATGCTGAGCAGGTCTGCATATGGTCTGTGCTCTGAGTAAGTTAAGGGAATTTTTAAGTGACATCACTTGTATGTGTCTGATGATTACATGGGGGAGATTTCAAAAAAATAGAAAACCCAGAATTTTGGGGCTAAGTTATTTGATAACCAGGGTTACCAATGGGAAATGGGGTGGGGAAGGTTTAAGTGGAAGCAAGAGAAGTGCTTTAACCTCTGCTGGTAACTCTGATTTGACAAATGCTAGAAAAACCTACTTTTTGCTAGGTCCTATACAGCAATGAAATAGTTATCAGCAAAATGCACTCCTAGGTGGAGGTTCAAAGTCTAGAAAATCTTAATCTCCGCAGATTTAATCCTCATAATCTCCCTGTTAAACAGATGTGGAACTATTTTGTACTTTAATATAGAGAAGGTAACTTGTTCCATGATGCAGCTAGTATGTGGTAGAGTTGGCCCTAAACAAGCTCTAAAATCCTTGTTCTTGGTGAGGTGTCTCTTGCTAATACCCCTTTACCTTTCAATTTTAGTTCTTAACATATAGCCCCTTTTGTGTTGTTTTTTTGCTCGGAATTTTCAAAAGTATGGTTAAAATATTCTAAGACATTTTTGTGAATCAAGAAATACCACTATGCCCTAGATCCTAACAATAAATTAGAACTCTTATAAGTGGTCTCCGGATAACTACTGGCATGAAATTGAAGGATTGTCCTGCTTTAAATGAATTTCAGCTTTACTCTGTGTTTGTGGGCTTCCTTTACTTTCCTGGGTTCCCTGATTGCTTCGCTTAGTTCTTGTACCATGTTTGCCTTCCCTATGTTAAATAAAAAATGGAAGTTCATTTTAAAGAACGATTATTTTGGTGTTTTCCTTTCTAGGATTAAGCGTGCTTTCCTTATCGAGGAGCAGAAAATCGTTGTGAAAGTGTTGAAGGCGCAAGCACAGAGTCAGAAAGCTAAATAAAAAATGAAACTTTGAGTAATAAAAATGAAAAGACTTGCTGTATGTATGATTTTTTTTTAATGTGTGTTGTAATGTGTTTATATACAGATTTTGTTTCAGAATTTCTTTTTTTTTTTTTTTTTTTTTTGAGACAGTTTTGCTCTTCTTGCCCAGGCTGGGGTGCAGTGGCATGATCTCAGTTCTCCGCAGCCCCCACCTCCTGGGTTCAAATGATTCACTTCAGCCTCCTGAGTAGCTGAGATTGCAGGCATGCATCACCACGCCTGGCTAATTTTATATTTTTAGTAGAGATAGGGTTTGTTGGACAGGCTGGTCTCGATATCTCAACCTCAGGTCTGCCTGTCTCAACCTCCCAAAGTGCTGGGATTACAGGTGTGAGCCACCGCCCCTGGCCAGTGGATTACTTCTTCTGAAGAAACAATTGGTGGTCACTGATTGCTAGAATTCTGGGGGGACAGCTCTACCCACTGCACTGGAGCATAATGTCCTTCCCTTTGTGGGCTAAATGGGAAGAATGGCCCTTCTATCTGAACCTTTAATATCCCTTTGATTCTTATTTTAGCATCTCCTTTACATCACCAAGTTTCACAGGATAGAAACCTTGGTATTCTAGTTCCTTGGAATGGAACCTTTTTAAAGCTGTCTTTAAACCCTTTGTTCTGTTAAGTCACTTCAGTTCAAAAATGGTATCTTGGAGAGCTCAGGACTCCTTATTTAACAATGAGCTATACACAAAACCATGGGTCAAGAGTGTAGTTTCTGATCTATTTATTATTCTGATTTATTATCCAAGTCAGAATATTAAAATACAGACCTCATTTTTCTTGGGATCTATAGTGTTTCTGCCAACTCAGGTAAGGTTTCGCTCCTCCTGCCCAACCTGGAGTTCAGTTTTGGCTTGCTGCAGTTTTTCATTTCCTGGGCTCAAGTGATTCTCCTGCCTCAGCCTCTCGGGTAGCTGGGTCTACAGGTGTGCACCACCATGCCTGGCTCATTCTTGTTTTTTTTTTAGAAACCATTTCGCCATGTTTTTAGGCTGGTCTCAAAAGTGGGCTCAAGCAACCTGCCTGCCTTGGCCTCCCAAACTGCCAGGATTACAGGAGATCAGACTGGGTATACAGGCAAGAGCCACCACACCCAGCCACTACTCAGTCATTTTTAATAGTTGGATGTTTTTCTTACCATCTTGTTTTCTAGGAATAAAATAGACATTTTAAATCAAAACTGGAAGCACACTACATGTATAGTATAAACTTTCAACTCTTTTTCTCCCGCATAACCCCTGTGATTATATTTCTTTTCAAAGACTCTTTTAGTAGCTGTTTGCAATATCAAGTCTACATGCCATAATTTAGACATTCCCTTTCTTTGGAACATTTGGGCTATTTCCAATTTTTCTCTATTTCAAAGTGATCATACTTATTTATTGTATTTATGCTGATTTTTAAAATTCACAAGCTGGTGCTGAAGTTAAGTATTTAGAAGACAGAGCATTGATTGGTGCGAACATAGGAACAGCTTATTCCAAGTGACCCAAATGGATTCTGTAACTCTTCTGGATTTTGATTTTTTTAAAAAACAAAATGAAGTTCTTACTGAATCCAGTTCTATGTGTGTGACAAAGTATTCTTGACAGGCTCCTAAAAGGACATGTGAATGTAGTCAGTGGTTTTCTTTTTAAAGTCTACTATTTCTCCTTCCATCGAAGTGCTTATAAATTCTATTAGAAGGTTGAAGGGGGTCCTTTATCCTTAAAAACAAAATCTCCAAGTGTTTAAATAAGTTGGTATGCTGGAGCTACCTCACCTCAGCTTGTGAGAGCCAGTTGTGTGCATCTTTTTCCAGCTTTGCATCCAGTGACATCTGGTTGGCACCTTAAGATTGGTATGATGAGAGTATTTACACCTGAGAAATCACCAAATGCTACAAAATCCTGTTTTCCCCCAGAGAGTTGGAGGTGAAATACTACCAAGCACATCTAGATATGACTCAAGTTACAGTCTGTGATACAGTATGCTCTTGGTACCAGGAGCTCTGGTATATATCTGGTACATGTTTGATAATGACTTTGCAAATTTTTGTTATAATACTTTGATTTTGTAAAGAGTTTGGGGTTTGGTTTTATGAAGTCCAAAACAAACCTTTTATTGAATCTAGTTCTCTGTGTGACCAGTTCTCTGTATGAATGGAAGGGGAAATAATTTAAAATCTTGCAAAGAGTAAAGTTTCGTCTTAAACAAAACTAGATGTGATAAACACTATTCTAAACCAAGAGTAGAAAAGTTTCTGAGCTGGACATGTTGGCTCACGCCTGTAATCTCTGCACTTTGGGTGGCCGAGTGGCCAACATGATGAAACCCCATCTCTACTAAAAATGCAAAAAATTGGCTGAGCGTGGTGGTGCATGCCTGTAATCCCAGCAGCTTAGGAGGCTGAGGCAGGAGACTCACTTGAACCCAGGAGGTGGAGGTTGCAGTGAGCTGAGATCTCACCTCTGCATTCCAGCCTGGGCAAGAGCAAAACTCCATCTCAAAAAAAGAGAAAATGCTATCTTCATGAGTTTCATTTGTGTCTCAGCTAGTTCACACTAATGTAACAAACTACCGTAGACTGAGTGACTTAACATTTTATTTCTCACTGTTCTGGAAGCTGAGAAGTTCAAGATCAAGGCACTGGCAGATTCTGTGTCTTCCTGGTTTGCAAATGGCCATCGCTGCTGTATCTAAACAAGGCAGAGAGATCGTCTATCAATGTCTTTTCTTAGAAGGGCACTAATCTTAACAGGGCTCCACCCTCACGATCTGATTAAAATGCCTCGCCATCCCATTGGGAGTTAGGATTTCAACATATAAATTTTGAGGGCGACACAAACATTCAGTCCCTAACATTTTCTAAATTAAAGGATAAGATCTGCAATAATTTTGCATGAAAAGATGCTTTTGGGTTTTCAAAATATTAGCTAGTCAGTAATTTTTAATACATCTTTTTTTTTAATCTTAAATGTTTCTAGTTAACCTGAAGGATTATGTATTTTTGCCAAATGTTTATGTTATTTTATAATTGCTTTAACATTCATTCACTCGACAAATATTTATTAGAAGCTAAAATGTACCAGAAACTGTGCTGCTTGATAAGTGTTAATAAAGTAGTGAACAAAGAAGATGAGACTCTTCCCTTGCCTCATGGCACACAGGAGAGACAATGTTAAATGGGGAACGAAAAAACACATTTGTTGCACACACTAGGATTAGAATCACAAAGGGAAAGTCCTTAGCGCTGTGACACAATGCAAAAAGGGAGAACCTCATGGGGGAGTTAAGGCAGGCTTTTTCTGAAAAAGTGATATTTAAGCTCAGAACAAAGATAAGTTGGCGTTGGCTGGGTGACAAAAAGGGAGAACACTCCAGACAGAAACCAACATGCAAATGCCTAAAGAAACAGCTTGTATGAAAAATAAAATCTATTTAGGCAATCCGATTCACTCTCAATTTTAAGAGCCCAATAAACCTGAAATGTGTGAACTAATTGTAAATCCCTAAGAAGGAACATCCCTGTCAGCACATAGCTTTTAGTATACCTATGTGGCCCCAGGGCTACTTTTCCATCCTAAGGGAGACCCAGCAAAAGAAAAGCTTTCGTAAACTGTTTTAGGAGCAAATAAATCCTCCCCTGCATTAGGGGACCTTTAAATTATGCAATCCTCTAGATAATTTAGTCACCAACCACTTACTATTAAGGAGGAAAAGGATCAAATTTATTGACCAAATTCCCTTGATATCCATTCAACTTCTATATTCCTTGGCCTGTGCAAATAGCCTGAAGGCTTTACTCTCAACTCTCTCATTCTGGGGTTGAAAATAAGCGTTCAGTTTGACTTGCCTGAAGAACAAATGGTATTGAAGAAAATTCATATGTTTTTTTGCATCTTAGTGTAAGTCATATAAATATGTCACAGGCCATATGGTCTCTCTGTCACAGCTACTCAATTCTGCCACTGTAGAGTGACAGTAGCCGTAGACAATACATAAACAAATGGTCATGGCTATGTTCCAAGAAAGTTTTATTTACAAAAGCTGACGTCAGGTCAGATTTGGTCTTTAGCTCATAGTATGGGAAGCTGCTCTAGACAACTCTGCTTCCAGCCACAGCTGCCATCTGATTGCCTTTGAATGAGAGACCTCAAGCTAGACCAGGAGAAAACTGCCTTGTTAAGTCTAATCAGCCCAATGGATGGTGGGGGAAAAAATAAAATGACTGATTTCTAAATCTCACTCAATTTTGAGGTGATTTGTTACATAGCAGCCTACCACTAAAACAATGGTACAGTGCAATCATTAAACATTTCTTTTTGCTTAGTACCCCTTGAAAATTTGGAAAGTTATATAGATTCTTGCACGTTTTCAGATTGTCATCTAAAACTTTCATTCAAAATGTAAATCCTTGCTAAGTATATCATATCCAACAGAGTGAAAATTTTAATAATTTTAAAGAGAACTGTTTATCAACTTTTAAGCATATCAAATAAAAGCTCCACAAGCAGCCATTTTTTGAGTGTTTCAAATATTTGTGTTTAACTTTTAAATTCATGTGGTATATGTGCACATTTGTCATATAAGTAAACTTGTGTCATGGAATTTTGTTGTAAGATTATTTCATCACCCAGGTATTAAGACTAGTGCCCATTAGTGATTTTTCCTCATCCTCTCCCTCCTCCCACCATCCACCCTGTGATAGGCCCCAGTGTGTGTTGTTTCTAAGTGTCCGTGAGTTCTCATCATTTAGCTCCCACTTATAAGTGAGAACATGCAGAATTTGGTTTTCTGTTCCTGCATTAGTTTGCTAAGGATATTGGCCTCCAGCTCCATCCACGTTCCTGCAAAGGACATGATCCTGTTCTTTTTTATGGTATAGTAGCCATTAAAAAAAAAAAGGAACAACCTCTTCTAACATTTGGATGTTTTATATTCTTTCTTTTTCTTTTTTTCTTTCTTTCTTTCTTTTTTCTTTTCTTTTTTTTCTTTGTTTTGTTTT